TATTTTCCTATAACCGAAGTACAAAAACGATAATTTTTTTTAGGTTTACATTGATATATGCCACATATATAGACAATATATTACTCATACTACATACTCTAAAAGTGGCTTAAACCTAGAGCTGTCAATTCGGATAAATGGGTCGGGCCAACTCAGGTCGGGTTAATGTCGTAACCTATGCGGGTCGGGTTCGGGTTGGGTCGTTCTTGAGTCGGGTCACGCATCTTATCGGGTTTAGGTCGAGTTATCATTAACAAGTCGGGTTACATTCGAGTCGGGTGAATAATAGGTCGGGTTTAATTCGGGTTAAAACAAGTTAGGGTCATTCTCAGGTTCGAGTCGGGTTCGGTTCAAGTCAATAATTTGCGGGTTATAATCAGGTCAGGTCATTTCCAAGTCGAGTCAATCTCGGGTTCAAGTCGAGTTTGGTTCAAGTCAATAATAATTTGCGGGTTACAATCAGGTCAGGTTATTTCCAGGTTGGGTCATGTTCGGGTTCGGGTCTCAAATATTGGGTTAATCTGGGTTTTTGGTTGATTTCAGGTCGGGTCATTTTTGGTTTCGGGTACATTTCTTGGGTCGATTTGTTAACAGTTCATATAATGATGTTTACATATAATCATTATCAATTTCTTCATTTATTGTAAGAGAAATAATTTCAGAGAAGTTTAAATTCGAGCTAATTAGTTCAAATAAGTTTACATATGATATACATAATAGTTCATATTAATTCCAGTAAGATAGATTTATTTTAGATTTTTAGAAGTTAAGTTCAAACCCTATTCATTCATTTTAGGGATAACAATTTCAGATAACATAAGTTCATATTCGAGACGACAACGTAACTATATAACTATACTTTGATCAATATTAATAAGGTGGTCTAAATTGAATTTAAGGTGATATGAAATCGGACCAGGTTAGGTCGGGTCAATAACAAGTCGTGTTGATTTCGGGTCGGGTTAGTAACAGATCGGGTTGAATTTCGGGTCGGGTTAATAATAGGTCGGGTAAAATTTGGGTCGGGTTAGTAACAGGTCGGGTTAAATTCGGGTCAACTTAGTAACTAGTCAGGTTAAATTCGGGTCAAGTTAGTAATAGGTCGGGTTAAATTTGGGTTTTAACGGGTTAACGGGTTTGGGTCAATCTCGGTTCATGTCGAGTTCGGTTCAGGTCAATAATTTACGGGTTATATTCAGGTCGAGTCATCTCCAGGTCGGTTCATGTTCGGGTTCGGGTCTCAAATATTCGGGTTAACTCGGGTCTAGGGTTGATTTAAGGTCGGGTCATATCGGGTTTGGGTCACCATTTTTTCAGGTTCAAACGGGTCGGTTAATAATCGAATTCAGGTCGATTTTTCGCGTCGAATCGGCTTTTGACAGCTCTACTTAAACCATAAACTAAAAGTAAAAAAAAAAAAAAAAAAAAACAAAAAAAAAAACAAGAGAGACATATGAGTGATACAAAGTGTATTTCGGATTTTCGGAGTATCTGATTGCTATATCAAATGATCTGAATACTCCATATTAATTTATTTATTTTATGATTAATACATCTAGTGATACTACTCATTAATGAGAGGTTGTTATTTTATGATTAATACATCTAGTGATACTACTCATTAATGAGAGGATGAAAAGCAGCATTATCACACACAATGGTAACTTATGCAAACGAAGGTATTGCAGCAAGGATTGTTAAATACATGGCATGTTTGACCACCTCCCTGGCACGTGACTACCTCTTCAATTATTTTGTTATTTTCTCCCTTTGATAATTCGGTTTCTTCTATCATCATCATCATCAGATTATTCATCGTCTCTTCTTTGACTTCTATCATTTCCAACGTTGACGCTGTCAAACAATAATATTTTATTAATAACCAATCATTCACGTAATTCGTGTGTGAAATGCATGCAGCTATATGTATACCGTATATACAGCTAAAATCCCACGATAACTATAAATTAATGTACGACATTCAGCTAAAATATTAATTACGATCGATTAAATATCAATTAATCTAATGTACGGATGTTATGTTATTGTATTGGTATTATTATACAATTTTATCTGAGTGATGTTATATATATACAAGTACAATAGAGTACTTTTGTTTATCAAATTTCAAGTGATTAGGAAAATTATCAATGGTGTAACAACTCAAAAGTAACAAAAACAAGTTAACAAAACAAATTAAGAAAAGATGATGAACCTGTTGCACTTAAGAAGAGTGCTCCAAGGAGGACTATCTTAAGGTAAGTGGAAGCACCTCTTTCCATTACTTGACTTCTATTTAAATTTTTTGAAGGCAATTATTGAATGAATTGATTTTACTATCCTCTTCACTATATCAGTATTTATAGTAGTGCTTTTCGAGCTTCCATCAAGTTTAAGAATTTTACATTTCTTAGCTTACTAAAAAATTATATTGCAAATTGCTTGTACTTTTTTTTTCATTCATTCTTTTTTTTTTTTTTTTAATATTTTTTTTACTATTAATATGTGAACGGTGGAACACTCTCAATTAAATATCACCAATTATGTTATGCATGCATGCAAATATGCAATGCCACCGTGAAAGGGCCCCTCGTCATTCAATTGTTTCGTCCGAAGTATAAATATAGCAATAAATATGATATATGCATCTTGATTTGTGGTCTATTCCACGTCCAACAAAAAAAAGGGCCTGTTTGGTGAATTAAATTAGGTTCTTGAGCTGAGTCACAGCCAGCGAGCCTAAATAATTTAAGCACAATATGATGCATCTTTCCAGAACTAAGATGGCTAACGCGCGTGATGCGCGCACATATATACCTAGTTATGTTCCGGAATCTCTTTTAATTTAGTCTTATATCGCAACTTTGAATTGAAGGATATAATTGTCCAAACACTATTTATAAGATTTTTCACAAACTTTTTAATTAAAATTTAAATAAAAAGATAGGGAAGAGAAGACAAAAAAAAAAATGTCACCAATGTGATTTGCAATGCATAAATGGGGGTGTATATATATATATATATATAAATAGACATTTTAAGTGATATAGTTAGCATAACACTATTTATAAGCGTTTAGTAGAGATAGACTATAACGTCTACAAGTGTGAGTGAATAAGTCGAGTCTATTCATTGCTTACGTTCAAGTCATTTAATTCCTAATTCAATTACAGGTATGACAGTTCTATCAAACTCAAAAATCCAACAACTATATAATTTTAATAGTATTTCATTTGCCTATTATAGTAACATTTTTGAGATTGAGCACATTTCAACAGAGAGAGACATGCAAATCAATTCTTGTAAAATTTTAATTTCAAAGCAATACTCCTAATGTTAAGTTAAAACCAATTTTAATTGGGTGTAAGATTTACAATCTAGTACTCCATTTTAATTGCTAAAATCAATTATAATTAATATTTTTTAATCGGATGGTGTAATTCAAAAATTAAAAGCCAACATCTCAGATCTCACAAGGTCACCGACTTTTTACAAAAAATATTTTTCATTTCAGGGGACAAGGCCATTATTAAATGACATTTTTTTAATAATTAAATGACATTACAAGTAAAATTAACACAAACTTCATCAAATAATTACTTAATAAGTCTTGAAATTACGACGTTGCTTTAAAAGTAAAATGGCAGATCCACGTCTTGCGAAATATGCCGGAAGTGGTAACCCCGTTCCATCTGTGAAAAAAATCTAAACCCTCAGTTTAAAAGGCAGTAATACTCTGTAACAAATGAAATGCGATTTCATTTTTTAAGTAGCACATTTATTTTAATTAACTCAATGCTTCTGCTACATATGCAAATATATACAGGTAAAGGATATGAGGAGTAAAAAAATTGGTGTCCATCACTTAAAGTACTACAGAGTATAATAGTTGGAAGACTATTCAATGGCTACAATAAATATGTAGCCATTGTAATTGTTTTCAATCTCAACCATTAAAATTTTAAGGACAAATCTTGTTCATTTATTTGTTTGACTATAAAAAATTTTAAGGAAAAAAAAATTAACTGTTTTATTTTAAAAATAACTGTTTGTTTTTCTCAAAAAAAAAAAAAAAAAAACTTATTAATTTCTTTGATCTACCGAGCAAATCTCTCAATCTCCATTAATTGTACAGTAGAAAATCAACATGGTTAACTTTGTATTTTCATCAAGAATATGAATATAAAAAATTTTATCCTCCACAATTAACTACTCTGTATCTTCTTTCCCGCAAACAAAATATCACCCAACACCATTGTTATACAATATACATCATACTAAAGTCGAAATTCAGAGTCAAACGTATCAATGGAAGAAAGGATTGAGAAAAATACTTTGAGGCTTTTCTTAAAAGTAATCGATCAATTCTAATTTTATTTGAAAAAAAAAAACTACTGTAAATTAAATGATTAAGATTTAATACCAAATTTTAAAGGTTGAGATTGAAAGATCACAATGGTTACAAAATTATATGGAGTACTTGGTATATATAGGAAGACAACTAACATTATACGGAGTACTTCGTATGTATTTATAAAACATCATCAAAATACAAGAGATACTGTTAGATTTATATAACACCTATTTCATAATTAATAATTTTAATAATAAAGTAAAAGAAATATCTTCAAAATTGCATAGAAGAAATCGTAAAGATTATCATGAACCCGAGAGTGTATATATATATATATATATATTTTTTCTTTGGTAGAAAAAGTGTGCATATATATATATATTTCTGGTTGACTTGTTTACAATTGGAGAGTACATTATTTTTTTTTGAATAGAGAGAGTACATATTTCTAGTTGACTAGTCTACAATAATAATTAATAATACAACAAATGTTCATTTGGCACATCGCATGAGTACAAACATCCAAGTTCCTAAAAATCTTCTTACCGATTTAATTTCTTCTGCATACATATATTCAGTGTGAACACCCCATTTATTTCGGCCTCAGCATTAACTTCACATAATCACATCTACGAAATATCATAAATTCATAATTCATCACTGTACTGTACTACATAAGTCCTAATCGTGCAGTACACTCCAATTTCCATAAATAACTAAAATTTATCTTTTATATCACCCACAAAAATTATTAAAAATCCCAAAATTACATTTTTTATGTACTACCAAAATATATCTACTACTAGTACCACAAAAACATCCCCACTTTATTCAAATCACATTAAATTAAATCAATACTCCTTTTTTAGTCTTACCCTTCTCCTAAACACAAACAAAAATAATTCAGTACGCAATTTATCTCTTATTTGAGATAAAAAACATAAAATAGAGATGGATCATGGTTCGATGAATGGAATGAACATGGCACCATCGTCGAATTCGACGTCGACCATGGGTGCCATGGGTCATAAGAAGAAGATGATGATGCATATGTCATTTTATTGGGGAAAAAACGCTGAAATTTTATTCAATGGATGGCCTGGGACCCACACAGGCATGTACGTTCTTTCTCTAATCTTTGTTTTTCTACTGGCTTTTTTTGTTGAGGGTTTCTCTCGTTCTCGCTTTGTTAAGGATAATGGACGAAACGCTGTCGTTTCGGGTGTTGTGCTTACGCTTCTTCATACCCTACGAATGGGATTGGCTTACTTGGTTATGCTTGCTGTTATGTCGTTCAATGCTGGGGTTTTTATTGCTGCTATTGCGGGTCATGCTATCGGATTCTTGGTTTTTGGTACTCGGGTGTTTATTAAGGGTTCTCAGGATCCGGGGAAATCTTCGGATCTTCATCCCATTAGTTGCTGACAAATCATTGTTGGTCGGATTTTGTTTCTAGGATTGACGAGATTTGATTTCACGTCTTAAATATTGTATGAAATAATACTTTTTTTTTAAAAAAGTTTGTTTTAGATAGTTAGTGCTCGTAGATTTCCTTTGGTGTTAATTGAGAAAAAGAAATTATGGATTGGTGATATGTAAAGGTTGAAGGGCATTTAGGCTATCCTAAAACAAAAAAAAATGGAATGAATTATGATTTTGGCTAGAGTATCACATAATCATGATTCGCAGCAATTATACATAATCATGATTTGCGACAATTATATATAACAATTAGTGATTAATTTCCTAATTAGTTAGCTTTATGTTTTTGAGATAGTCTACTATTTCGAAATTAAACATAAAAAAGTCTGCTAATTTAAAACGGAAGGAGTATATAAAAGAATGAACAAAGTTCTCCATATATACATGTATTAGTGATATAATTGTTGATGCCTGCGTTTTCTCAACTCACTAATGGACTATTGATCGATCAAGAGAAGAGGTAGGTATAAAAATTGATTAATAAAATGAAAGTCGGAATGCGTGAACATAATCTTGTTTCGTGATTTAGCTAAAGAAATGAACCAAACAACCAAAAATATGTAATTTGATATTACCAATTTATCGGATGAACCAACTAATGAACATAATTTTGGCTAGAGTATGGCCTCGTAAATATCGGATGAAATGAGAGTAATGCGGAATTTGTTAGGAAGTGAGAGTAATGAAGTGACAAAGAAATCCTATGAAAACGCCAAAGTATATTGAAAGCAATTGGCATCCTTTTCCTTTTATGTGAAGTTTGAAGGAGATTGATAGGAAATTCACGTGTGTATGATTTACGTGTGGCTCCCTTTTGGTTGGATCTTTCTCAGAAATTTACCAATTGATCATCTTATTTAAACCGTATCTTATACGGAGTAATGTTTCGATAAATTCTTGTATATGAGGTATCGTATGGCCGTATGGTACATGATTTGTTATAAGGTACACTTTGATTTTATATACTCTTTCTGCTTCTGAAAATTTAATGCATGTAAGGAATATGCCTTAAATTGATAGCCTTGAGTTGGGAGCTAGGAGTCGGGAACTAGGAAGAAGTGGGGCAAGCATGTTCATGCCCTGGGGATGCATGGGCATGCCTCGACGAAAAAGTATTGAAGACTGACTAGGCACACCCGTGCCTCAATGAGCTCTAATTCAAAGGTATTCGGCCAGGCACATCCGTGCCATCCGGAGGTTGTCCGTGCCTAGACGGAGTTCCGACGAGACACGTCCATGCCTCAGCAGATTTTGAGTTCTGGTGCTTTTTGCACGTGAGGCACGTCCGTTTTGGCCGATTTTGGATACTTTGTTTGTGGACTTTATTTTCTGTCTATCTTTTCTAGTCTATGGGTTATTATCCCTAGGTTATTTCCTAGCCATATACAAGCAATGACCATTAGTTGAGTGATTATTCAGAAATATGAGATTCTTTTGTGTATTTCTCATCTGTGAGTTCTGAGAGAGATAACATTAGAGATCTAAGAGACCATCAATCTATTATATGTGATTGGTCTCAAATATGTTCTGAGTCTGTATCTGTTTTTCCTCAAGATCAATAAAACTATTACTCTCGCTCGCCCGTAGACAGGGGCGAATTTTTTAAGGGGCGGGCTGGGGTTTGGTCCCCCTTAAATTTTTAGCTAAAATAGTTATTATCCAACAAAACTTATAAAGAGGCCCAAAAATAACAGTAGCCCACCATAAGTCATTTTTGCGTTAGCCAGAGCATAAGGCCCAAGTAATTCTTGCGGTGTATATTTTGCGCACAATCTCCAATACACTGATACACATGTGGTTTGATAACAGATTTTATACCACTGACAAATATTTTTTCTTTTATTTTTTTAATGTCTATTTCATTTCTTTTATTAATCTAAATTATGGGGCTTCCTTTTCATTAGGAAATAATAAGTTATTGTTTGTTTTATTTGTACAGTGAGTTATGAAAATATTCCGTAAATGTTGTAGCTATTTACTAATATATTATATTATTGATGTACAAATATTATGAAGTACTAGCCTTTCAAAAAAAATAAAAAATATTATGAAGTACTTTTAAAAAAAGAATATTATGAAATGAAATTAGTCTTTGTATTAACAATATATTACGATTAGTTGTGAAAGTTTTAATTCGAGGTACTTTTTTTTCCACGTATGTTATGGGTTCTATGACAAGGCTTATGATTTCATGAATTGAATGTTTAATTTGGCCCTGAAAGAAATTTTGTCAAGATCCGCCACTGCCTGTGGATGTAGCCAATACATTGTTGGTGAAACACGTAAATCCGTTTCTGATTTCTTGTTAATTTTACATTCATTAATTTGTTCTTTCTTACATTCGTTACAACAATACACTTCACTTTTTTTTTTTTTTTCAATTTTGACAATTTTTTATTACTATTATATAAAATAATAGACACACTCTAAGAGCTTATTTTATAACCACCATTTATACGTCAATTTTTTATTTTTTTTTTCTTTGACGAAAGTTGTACGTCAATTTTGTATTCTCCATTTGAAAATAAAAATATGTTAGTCCTAAAAAATCTGCTATATTTAAAAATAAAATAATTGAAAAGCTTTGCCCAAAATCATGTTGGGCCGGACCAGATTAATTAGCTCTAGTATGCACCATTTAAGAGAAAATTTGCACTTTTGTTAAAGTAGGATTCTAGAATTTATAGTTTATGGATGGGCATACTCATAGGGCTCGGATTCAAGAGGCAGGAGTAGTGGGCTGCAGAAGGCCAAACAAAAACAAATTTCCGTGTTTTCTATAAAGAATTGGGCTACATATATAATTTATGGAACCCACCAAGGCCCAAATTGATTTTGGTTACCCAATCCAAATGATAGTTTCATTTCTCTTACAAGATAAATCATTACTGTATGAAAGTCCACAATTCTTGTTCCAATTTCTTGCAAATTTAGGGATTATTCCTTTATAGTTCAAGACCATCACGTCATTTATGGATTCACAAGTCAAGAACGACCAATTTATCACATTGAAATTTCGCCAACTATCATAGTGGGAGTGTGGATGAAGGTGAGAAGAGAATCATAAGAGAATTCCCATCCCAAAATGACACTAACGAAAATTGATCTCATAACTACGGTTCTTACCACAACCTCAAAGTTCAGAACATAATACGGAGTAGATTAATGATGAATTTAAATTGATTAATGATCAATAATAGAACATTAATTAATTCTTACCACAACCTAAAAATTGGATTGGTGATGAATCTAAATAAATTGATGATATTATTAATTGGGAAAGATGACTTGAATATACGCCACATGTAGTGATGAACTACTGATGATGCACCTTGAGGACCCTACCTAAAGAAGTAAAGACAAGTTCATAGAGCTTAAAAAAAATTGTAAAAATAACTGGTTCTAAATAATATCCAGCACGTTAACAAGGCATCCAATGTCACATTTATCAAGTTGTCACCTTAATTGGCTTGGCTCTTTCTACTTGTCCTTTCAACTCCTCACCATATACTATTAATCTAATATTATTGATACTTTTTAGTCGGCCTTATTTATCAGCCTATATAATTATTTGTAAGAAGAAGCAGTTTTTGATTTCTACTCGCCCTTATCATTTTCTCCAACAATAACATCTTGGTAAGTCTAACTTTTCAATTTTATTGATCAAAACTTTATGTTATACGATATGATGATATGATATGTCGGGTTTTTATTTAAATTGCAGATTCATTGTTATATAATACAATACGTGTACGAGAAATGGCTGAAGGAAGGAGATTAGGAGTGGCATTGGATTTCTCAAAGGGATGCAAAGCAGCATTAAAATGGGCAATTGATGGGCTACTTAGAAAGGGTGACACCCTTATTGTTATACATGTTAAGCACTCTCAATCCTTAGAGTCTCGTAACCTTATTTGGTCCGACACCGGATCACGTACGTCTCTCTTACTTTATCCACCTTTAACGTGTCTAACACTTATAATTTTTATTAGCGTTGTAGCTAGAACGATTTAATTATATTTCGGATCAAAATCTATTAACCGGAAATTAAAATTAAAAATGGCAGCTTTGATACCACTTGCTGAATTTTGTGATCCTGAGGTGATGCATAGCTATGGAGTAGAGCGTGAGCCTGAGATTTTCGAATTACTTGATGTCATATCTAAACAACTACAGGTTCTTATATACAGTTATCCAGCATATTACTTGATTTTAGGGATTTTTTTTGTTTTATTTTGTTTATCAATTTTACTTGCTCCATTTGGTCAAACGGAGTATTTACAGAAAATAATAAGGAATTTAATTAAAAAATTGATAGGTAACTGTGCTTTGGAAAATTTACTGGGGAGATGCGAGGGAAAAAATTTGTGAAGCAGTTGGGAGCATGGAGCTGAATACTTTGATCATGGGAAGCAGAGGCCTTGGTTCCATCCAAAGGTGATAACTTGTTTTCTTATGGATTTTTCATTTGATCATTAATCTCTCATAATTGTGTATTTCAAAATTGCATACATTGTGTCGAATCTAATAATATCTACATGACTAGATGATCGGTTTATCCTTATGTATAGTACTAAATTAATCACAAAAGATTTTTGAAGCGGAGTTTTGAATAGTACTTAAATTTCTATATGCCAACATTATTATGAAATTGAGTAGTATATAATTGATATAAGCTGACTATGAAAGTATTAATTGAGGTTGGGTACATATTCAAAGTCGTCTCTATTATTATATAGCCTTTAAGGTCTTGTGTTTACCTTGGAAACAAAGAAGCTTAAATTTAAATATATGTGGTCTCAAGTATCTTTTGGCTCACATAATATCACAATCCACAAACCAAATAGTGATGTAAGCATAGCAAAGTTTTACTATATGGTTTTACCAATTAAGTTAGCTGATACATACACGTATCTTTGGATGGTGATAAATCTCGAGATCATGAACTGCTTTTAATGGACGGTTCTGATGTGAAATACTCAGGGTACTGCTAGGGAGTGTCACAAACTACGTGCTAGAGCATGCAAGCTGCCCTGTGACAGTTGTAAAGGACTCGCGGCCATGAATATAATGCTGAAGAGTGAAGAATGCCAACAACTTTGTAACATTGAATATTGCTTCTATTCTACTAGTACTTCTATTTTTATTGGGTGTGAATAATCTCTGTGTTTAGCATCACTATTGCATGAAACAGAACAATCATTGCTGGTTTGAGCTTTTTATTTTCTTGGAATTTTTATGTGATATTATTGTCAAATGATGTTGCAAATAATTGCTTATCGATCACTTTGGTTTTATATGCAACTTTTGAGCAAGACTCTTTGTCGATGCATACATTAATAGCTTATGCTCCGTACTTAATAGGAGATATTTCTCATACACTCCCTTTGCTTCTATAGTTCTATGACAGGACATGTCTAGTATCTAATTAATCTCATTCTATGTTATTTCTCACTTAAATTGTTGATGTAGAGTTACTTTTTTTTTTATCGGAAACCAACACATGTATGTTATATGTAAAAGTGTAAAAACTATTTTATAACATAAAATTTAGATATCCATATATAATCACAAGGATCAAATTAAAACACTTCTTATATACATATGATTTATTTTATTTTTCCTCATGTGTAAGTCTTGATCTTATAAGGAGGCGGAATACACGAATCTAAGCTAGATGCAAAAGAGGGATCACAAACCTGAAGTAACGCTCATAGATCACTTAGTTTGATCAATTGTTGTCCTTGTTTCTTCCATGTGCTACTTCATAACGAGCTTTAATGTATACGAGATGCTTATGTTTTGGAGGTAAACATTCCTTGGCAATAGAAACATCATAAAATCTTTCAATCCAACTACATAAAATGGGGAATTTTTCTTGCCTAATAAGTTCAATGCCAACAACTTCTTGCACCCTTTCAATCCAAAATGCCACAACATTAGCTACTATGTCCAAGTATCCAAGTTTATCTCCTCCAAAAAAACATTTCCCCTTAAGTTGGCTTTCAAGAGTTTTTAGAAGCACACTAGCTTCCTTCTTTGTCTTCTCTTTTTCTTCTTCTTTGCTAAGGAAAGTCCTCCATACACTTGGCAACAACTACAATCATGCAAACAAAATTTGGCTTATATAGAAATTTCATTTGATTTATTTTTACCAACGTTTTTACTTCGTATTTTATTGAGCAGCAAACTTCAATTTTGTTATCAATTTTTCATAAACTTACCAGCTAGATCTTTAGAAAATAACTACTTTTAAAAATAGAAAATTAAAATTATTCTAGTAGTTGACAAAACCTTAAAGCTTATGTTCTAGTGGAAATTTTGTCATCGATCCTTCTTACAAGATACACATACAAGACAAAAATTTACAATAATGAAATATAACTACAGGAGTTGAAAACAATGATAAATTGACAACACATGTAATGAACATGATGTTAAAAAAAACCGGTGTCACTTTGTTCAAGAAGAAAATATATTAGAGAAAAACATACATTCTCATTACTAGAAAGATCAAGGCTTCCTATTATGACCTCCTTTTGTAAATCTGTACTAGTTAGTATAAATGATACCGATTTAAATTTAAGGGTACCTATATTATAAATATATAACTCACCTTTCGGAAACAAAAAATGTATATATATACTGGAAAAATAGAAAGAGCATATGAATGAATTACCTCATTATCAATGAATTTAGCCCAAAATCTAGCTTGGGCTCTCTCATAGGGATCTTGTGGTAAAAGAGGATGATCTTTCCAAATTTCATCAATATACTCAAGAATAATCAAGGATTCAACAATTGGCTTTTCATTGTGGACCAAAACAGGTATCATTTTGTGGACAGGGTTGTACTTAACAAGTAAACAACTCTTATTGGAAAGGTCTTCTTCCACATATTCAAAGGGTATATCTTTCATTTTTAGGGCTAATTCTATCCTACGGCTATAAGGGCTTGACCAAACACCAAATAACTTCACTTTCATTTTCACTTCTACTTCTTCCCCCATTTTTAGTTTGCTCCTGACAAATGGTTGAACACTACCAGTGGCGGAGCCAGGATTTTCAACTTGGGGGGACAAAATGCTTAACTTACGAAAAGCTTAACAAAAAAAAAAAAAACAAAAAAAAAACTCACACACAAATTGGTTAATACTTAATATTAAAATTTCAAAATACAAATATATACTTAGTCATACAATTTGTTGAACCAATGAACACTAAAGCGACGCAAACCAGACACTTGTCTTGTAGGGAAGTCATGAGTTTTTGGTTGGCAAGGTTTTTTAAGAATATAACCCCTCCTAACAGCATTTCGTTCATTTGCGGGGTAATCCATAATGTTTATTCTTTTTCCCGGATCATGAGGAAGAAGTTCAACATCATACACCAAATCTTCCTCTAATGGTACATTACTATTACTTGAACCACCCATTTCCATACTATTTTCTTGACTTTGAGGGGAGCTAAATGAAGGTGAGTTATTGGACTCATTTTCATTGGACTCATTTTCATTGAGTTTCGTTCTTTTAAACAAGAATTGTCGAAGATCGGGTTGTTTAGTTGCCTTTGATTTGTTTGAATTTGGTGAATCGTTTGACATTTCCTAATTAAATCGAAAATTATATATCAATTTCCACAAGACCACAATCCACATCATTACATAATAACAAAACCTAAGAGGCTAAGATTTTAAATTTCTAATTCAACTACACATTTCAATAATTTACAATAATTAATAAATTTAAATTCACATTTCACAAAAACAACCAAAAACTCTAACAGGGGAAACAATCAAACATTCAAACAAATATAAATCAATAATCATTTATCAATTCAAATTATTCAATAATCAATACCCACAAGGCCACAAATGACAAATTCACAATAAAAATATAAACAATTAAACATTTAAACAAGTAATAAAAATATGAAATTCAGAATTAAACATTCATTGATTCATACCTCCATTGAAATGCATATGACGAACAGACGAAGTGTCGATCGAAGACTCGAAGTCACGCTGTCACGCTGTCACGAACTCACGAAGACACGAACAGACGAACTCACGAAGTCACGGGCTCACGGCTGTCACGAACTCACGAAGACACGAACAGACGAACTCACGAAGTCACGGGCTCACGGCTGTCACGATTCACGAAGGACGAAGGCTCAAGGGCTGAAGGGCGGCTGTTGAACCTCGTCACCAGGGGGGAACTGCCGGCGAACGGTGGACGAACAGACGACTAGGCGAGTAGGCGAACAGACGAAGTCACGATTTCACGAACACACGAAGTCACGAAGGAGGAAGGACGAAGGCTCAAGGGCGAACAGACTGCCGGCGAAGTGGACGAACCTCGTCACTGCTGCGAACGGTGGACGAACAGACTGCCGGCGAAGTGGCGAACGGACGAAGGCGAGGGCGATTGGGCGAATCGAAGACGAAGAGAGAGAAATTGAAAATTGAAAAACTTAGGGTTTGGCTTTGGCTGGCTGGAAAGTAATTGCATTTTTTTTTTTTTTTTTTTTTAATTTTTTAATTTTTTTTTTTTTTAATTTTTTTTTTTTGAAAATGGGGGGACAAGTGTCCCCACTCGTCCCCTTCTAGCTCCGCCCCTGAACACTACTAACCTACCTAGTACAATAATTCTCTCTTTTTATAACCAATTGCAAGATTCTTTTAATTGTTGGAATTTGTCATCATCATGGAAGTATTCAAAAGTTTCAAAAGGTGATAAGAAGTGTTTTTTTTTTTTTTTTTTGTCAGTTGTCACATTCTTATCTTTTTTATTCGTAATAACATACCATAGCAGTGGAGATGACTTCATATAACGTATTGTGTTTCAATCGTTTAGAAAAAGAGTTTTCGATTTTATGATTTGTATAGTAGTTACAAATCTTGCAATTTGTTCAATTATAGTTCATCACTTAATTCTTTTATGTATAAACCGATGAAAAATTATTCCTAACGTGTCATTGAGGGTATATATATGATACTTGTATATAAAAATGCAAGATTAACTTCATACTTTGTAGTAATTATGTTTCATAATTCATAAAAGTCTTAATAACAAATATATTTCACCAAAATCACTTTGTTATTACACTTGTGACACAAATTCTATTAAAAAAAAAATGTATATAATAATTAATTACACTGCCATCAAATACTTTTTTATATGGCAACAAAATACAAAATGGTCTAAACACAACTTGATCAATCACTTTAATTAAAAACTAAAAAGGAAAGACCTAATTTTGATCATTTCTTGCAGACAAATGGGATATGCACTGATGATTCAAAACAATAGTGGGCACGATCATTGTGAAGATGCATTAGCTTATGTTTCTTACAAAGAAGTTGAAAATTTTGACTTTAAGCTTCAATCATAATAAATATAGTGTGCGCTTAGAAACATGAACATGATACGAAGCGATTGCGAATATCCATCATCGGAAAGTACGGCTGTAAATGACTGCTGTTTTTGTGTGTTAGTTGGATATGTACCATTGATCAGTAAGACTAATTTAACCTAGTTAATGGAATATATATCATTTTGATCAGTATTATGTTTTCCAATACTATTGGGAATAAAGACGCTGAAAAGACATTGGGCGTGTTCTGCAGTATCTTTTAAGTAGCGTTTAGATAGCTTTTGCAGTAACTTTTAAGTAGCGTTTAGATAGCTTTTAGTAGTTTGACTAAGTCAAATCACTTATTTAACAAAAATTATGAGTGTTTGGCTATGTAGTGGCTGGGATAGCTTTTAGTGGTGGAAGTAGCTTTTGTCAAAAGTTAGAAATATTAGCTTTTTAAGTTAGAGGTAGCTGTTGAAAATTAATCTATAGTTTTAGGAAAAAATATTGTTTTTTATATTTATATGTAAAACTACTTTACCGAACACTCATACCTAAATTATCTATTTTCATAGCTAACAACTTGTTGACAGCTAACAACTACCTACACAGCTAATAGTTACTAACACAACTAATCGCTACATTTACAGCTATATTTGCTGAACACACCCATTGTTTAGTCTATCCGGGTATATGTAAGAAATTTTATCCGGATATATGTAAGAAATTGTATGTATGCACGATATATAAGATACATAAGGGTCATGAACAATTACCAAAAATAATACAAAATAACATGAATTTCAATTCATTGTTATTGATACAAATTCACTCGTCAAGCACATAGTTCGTCTTTTGAATGAAATTAATTTTGTTTTGAATTATTAATGACAAATAAATAAATCAAAATATTTTAGTCACATTAGTCAATCCAGTCGTTGTAGTATAGTGGTAAGTATTTCCGCCTGTCACGCGGAC